ACATTCCTCCAAGCCTTCTCATTTCTTGCTTTCCATAAGCTCCAACATATAGCCACAAACTGACTGAACTCCGTGCTTGAACACCTGCTGCTAATCGCACTAGCCCACTCCTCAAAAGTTGTGTCACTAATGTGGTAAAACGCCTTACTTTGATACCGCCGCACCTCTTTAGCCAACGGACAATCTCGAAATACATGCATGGTGCTCTCCCTTTCCACTCCACGGGTGTTACAGATTGGCCAAATCGGTACTCGACGCTGCAACAGTCTCTCCTTTGATGGAAGACGGTCCGTACACACTTGCCAAAAGAAAGTCTTCATGTTCGGTGGTATCTCCAACTTCCAATCTCGAATCCAAGCCAGGGTGTCCAAATCTCTTTTTGATAGCATTCTATAACAACTTCAGACCGAGTATCTTCCCTTTTTATCATCTACCCATATCAGTTCATCTACCCCTCTAACCCCTTTTAGCGGAATGCTGGAAATAGCTTCTCGATCCTCGTCATTAAACAAATCCCTCAGTATATCCCAATCTCAGCTGCTGCCATCAACCGTCATAATAGAGTTTACTGTGATGTCCTCTAATCCATTAACAAACTCACCGGCCGGTCTTCCCCCCTCTGCCTTTGGAACTCACTTATCCTTCCATACTCGGATTGAAGTACCATCCCCCACTCGGTGTAATATTCCTTCCCGAATTGAAGGAATGGCCGCCACTATACTCCTCTAAATAAGTGATGGGTTGTTACTTGTTACCTATGCCCGCCTCGAGCACTTCTCCCCTGGGAAAATATCGTGCTTTTAGAATCTTACAAAAAGCAATTTTGGTTTCTTAAGAAGTCTCCAAACATATTTTCCCAACATAGAAATATTAAATTCCCGAAGCTTTCTAAAACCCATCCCTCCTGAGCTTTTCGGAACACATAAGTCAAACCAATTTCACCACCCTATACCTTTTCCTTTGAAAGCATGGCCTCGCCACCAAAAGACATTCATAACCCGTTCCACCTCCTCACTTAATTCAACTGGTAAAAGAAACACATTCATGGCAAATTGTGACATAGGCTGAATGACTGTCTACAATAAAATCTCCCTCTCCACTCTGGACAAAAAATGACTATTCCAACTTTGAATTCTTTTAACAACTTTCTCCTTAATATAGCCAAAAATTTCCTTTTTGTTACGCCCCACCAGTGACGGAAACCCAAGATATTTCCCTCCTCCTCTATCCTCTGGAACTCCAAGAAGGCTACACAAATAATCTTTATCGTCCCAAGCCCTATTTGCGCTAAATCGGACGCTCGACTTGTCATAATTTACCAACTGACCGGATGTTAAAGAACATCGAACTAGCATTTCCTTTATGAACAAACAATCCACCTCGTTGGCTTTGGAAAAAAGAAAACTGTCATGCAAAAAACAGATGAGTTAGTGTCGACGCACCCCTAGCTATACGAATTCCCTGCAAGTGGCGATCTGCTTCACCAGCCCGAATAAGAGCACTCAATCCCTCCGCAATTACAATACATAAATAGGGCGATAATGGGTCTCCATGTCTGATTCCTCGAGTAGGAATAATAGGACCTATAAAATCATTATTGACCTGTACATTGTATCGAACAATAGAAACACACTGCATGATCAACCCACCGTGTATGTAATCCCAAACGCTGCATAACGGCCTCTAGAAATCTCCATTCCACCCTATCATAAGCTTTGCTCATAACGCTGCATAACAACCAAACACTATAATAATGTTATCAACAATGGATCGACCTGGGATGAAAGCACTTTGTGTTTCTGCAAAAATCGGATCGAGCAATCTCTTCATACGATTAGCAAGTAACTTAGCAAAAATCTTATAAGCAACATTGCATAGAGCTATCGGTCTCCAGCCCCCCGTAGATTGAGGCCTATCCTTCTTCGGAATCAACACAATGGTAGTATCATTGCAGCCTTCACGCAACTGACCTGTCTGAAAAATATTAATACTAAAATCTACAACCGCCGACCCCACTACATCCCAAAAATATTGAAAAAACCTGGGTTCAACCCGTCTTGTCCTGGAGCTTTATCGGGATGCATGCTGAAAGCTGCCTTTTAACCTCTTCTGCTGTCACGTCCTGTAGCAGTATTATGTTCTGATCTTTTGTTATCATGCTGCCAAGACTGCCCACTTCCTGCAATGGACTTGCCTCCCCTTTCGTGAACAGCTTCTCAAAATAATTTGCAACCATCTCCTGCATAGCCCTTTGCTCGGTGATCCATTCCCCTGTATCCGACCGAAGTCCCTTCATCTGATTCCTTCTCCGCCTTTGTTTGACAAATTTGTGAAAAAAAATCGTATTTATATCCCCTTGTTGTAGCCAAAACTCCTTAGCCCGTTGTCTCCAAAAGTCATTCTTCTTTTCCAATAAAAGCAAATAACACTCCTTTGTTTTTGGCAAAATTGGCCAAACCAGCTGCATCCGTCTGCCCTCGCATCTCATCCATTTTCCTATTACAACCCTCAATACGCCTTTGGAATCCATGTTGTAAGTGTCTCCGATAGCCGTTATATTTACTTGTGTTTAACATAAGTATTTATAAGCATTTGTTGAAGAAAAGAAGAGAAATTGGGAAAATGCCTTCAAAATGAGAGCTAAAGCATAAAACATTGTGATGAACGACTTTTGGGACCAAAAGGATGACGTTCTGTCCATAATTTGAATATAACTTATTATAGAGAACTCGAAATCACTCCATTCGAATTTCATGTGAATGGTAACTCAATAAGGTACAAATGTTATGAAGACATCATGGCCAAAATAGGAAATGAACAATACTCAATCAATCGATAAAGTCAGATGTTGTTGGTGGGATTTCAAGATGCATACCTCTCAGTGTTTTATCCACATCTCTTGGTTGGATGAAAAAAATCACTTTACTCATTTCTTTATTTAAAGTTATCTACTCTCGGACTTGAATTAAACAACGTTTCCCTGTGGATTCGACTTGGTATTTTACCGGAATTTCTTACTATATCGGCACTTGTACACTTGCAAGTTTAGCCCGGTCAGTCTCCCCCGCTTATCTAGCTCCTCCCCGCAAAAACGAAACCTGTCATGCAAAGGTTGATAGTCACTACTTCCCAAGGCTCTTTCCACTATGTTGTGGCACTCCTTTTCCCTCAACCACAGATTTTCAAATTTAAAATCCCCCTCTTTCGGTTAGCCTCGCGTTTAGTGAACTTCACGAAAAGGGGCAGGTGATCGCTATTGTTGCCCACCACAGACGTATCCCACGCATCTCCGAACAAATTAATCCAACCACCTGAAGCCAAAATGCGGTCCAATTTCTCCTCCACCCATGCCAGCATGCCTCGTCCTCTCTCCCAGGTAAATTGATAACCATCAAAAGGAATATTTATTAATCCGCTACCCAACACCGCATCTCAAAAGCCTGACATCATCCACGGTGGTAATTGAGGGCATCGCCCTCTTTTTTCATAAGCGTACATAATGCCGTTAAAATCCCCTACCACCAACCATGGTAGGTCGCTATAGCTTGCTAGGTTTTTGAGCATATCCCAAGATTTCTTGCGTCGATGCCGTTCCGGGAAACCATAAAAACAAGTGAATCTCCAGAATACTTGGTGTAAACCTCCTACTACTTACGTGTCTGTATGATTTCGTGAAAGACTCTCTATTATGACATCAACATCATCCTTCCATAACAATGCTAAACCCCCACACCGACCTTCACAACCCACAGTGAAAAGCGTGTTGAAAGCCCAATGATTTCCGAACAACTTCCACCTTTGAAGAATCAACCAGTGTCTCCATTAAGAAAACAATGGATGGGTGATGAGTCGAAACAGCATCTGCCAGGACCTGTACTGTGGCCAGGTTCCCTAACCCCCGACAATTCCAGCTAACGCCCCCATGGTTCGACGAGAAAAAATAGTAGAAAAAACACCCGACCAGGTTTGCACCGACGAGGAGAAAACCTTCCCCACAAAAGAGGGAGACCAACACTCCGAAATAAATCCGGGATAAAATATAATGAAAATAGTTACGAACACCAACAACATCCAAGCATTAATCCCAAAAGAATTTGGGATCGGCTAACATGAACCGATCAATGATATCGATGCCAAACAGAGAAGATGGACAAGAAAAGGAAGGGAAAAAAGTAAGATAAAACGAATAAAATAAAGATAAATAAATATAAGATAACAATAATATAAGAATATAAGAAAGATAAAAGATAAAAAAAGCATAAAAAAAGCTAGAATATAAAAACAACATAATAATAAACAAAGATAAAGAAGATAAACGATAAAAAAAGAGAGGAAAGGTAGAAAAGACATCAGTCGTCCACACGTATGTGCGTCCTCCACTTTACTCTCTCCAAAACCACTCTCATCCAACCCAAGAAGACGCATATCAGTTCTGATTCCTCTAATACAAGTCTATTTGGGTTTTCCCCTCCCTCTTTTTTGTGCCTCTTCTCCCCACCAAGCCAAAGTAATTCAAAACTACACTCGGCACTCCTTATGCACTTCTAACATCGTAGTCAGAATTAGTCTCTTCCTTGCAAAGGAACGACGACAACGTACCATGCAGAAGAACGACGATCGGAATTAGGGTTTCTCATTTTGGTAATTCTTCCCAATTTCTATGAAAACTGGAGTCTTCTTCACTCCTCTTTATCGACTTTCTGGCCACTTTTTTACCTTCTATGTCATTTTTTAAAACAAATGGGAACTAATAGGTTTAAACCTATATTTTGTATCCTGGACCAGAGCAAAGATAAAAAATTCATAATTTACCAGAATAGAAAGCCCGAGCGTTCCGGTCCATTTTCCTTGTCCAAACCAAAAGATAACACACTACCCCAAAATCGGCCCTTCTTAGTACGATTCAATGTGAAGAGTTACTTTGGGCTGGGGCTCTCACATCTACCCCGAAATCGGCCCATCTAGCTTTTCATAACTAGCACGTGACTTACACGTGGAATGGCACCATATGAAACCCTAATCAACACGCCCTTTTTATCTTCTTCGCCAACAAACCCTAGTCCAGCTTCAGCAAACCCCGACCTCAAGCGGCAGATCCTTAGCATCTCTGCATATCGACAATGGTGACCGCTGGGAAGAAGACGGTAAGAACTAAGAACAATTTGTGTCTGTCTCTTTCTTTCTATTCAGATGTGTCGCTTCAATTCATATTCTTTTCGCCGTGGACAGAATATATGAACACTAATTGTATTGAATTTTGGAATTAAATGAGCAGAAGAAGACACATGAGAGCATAAACAACAGGTTAGCTCTGGTCATGAAGAGCGGTAAGTTTACACTTGGGTACAAAACAGTTCTCAAGACCCTCAGGAACTCCAAAGGTGCGCTCTCGTTTAATACTTATGTGCCATTCAAAGTAATACAATCAGTGGACTTTTTTGAGTGTTTTTCCTTTAATTTGTTCCCCATTGGATTCGAAATGTCAGGTAAGCTTGTATTGATATCCAACAATTGCCCACCTCTGAGGAAGTCTGAGATCGAGTACTATGCTATGCTTGCTAAGGTTGGAGTTCATCATTACAATGGAAGTAAGTCAACCTAATATCCAACTTGTTCTTTCTGGTGCAGTATTGAAGATCTCTCTTTAGATCGAATTGTATGTTTTGTGATTGTGTATGTGCATGGTATCTGGTATATTTTGACCATTAAGGATCTTCTTGGCAAGGGTTACTCCGTTCCTGTGCTGAATATATAGCTTTTTATTACGTTCTTCTATGTTAAAGGAGGTATAAGATACTATTTCAGGCATAGCAGAACAAGCAATTAGGGCTACCCCTGGCATACCAACAGGCTTTTAGTTGAGCAAATTCCACTGAAAGTGAGAGTAGCATTATGATTGAAGTTGGAAATGGTTCAGAAATGTTAGAAATGTTTTCTAATTGGTTAAATGTCCTCAAATTCAAATACCTTTATTCATTTGAAAACGATCTTGGCATTCTCTGAATCCCCCAAACCCTTTCTCTGTGAACGTGTTCTTACTTTTTCATATTGAAGTTGCCATTATTTGTGGCCAGCTGCTAATATTTTAGGGTTGTAGTTGGGTAGTTTGTTGGCTGGACAGTGCTTGGGAAAAGTTGGTGAATGTGCTTGATGCCCTTACTGATCAATATTGAGTTGTCCCTTTTAATTTTTTCTTGCAGACAATGTTGACCTTGGGACAGCCTGTGGAAAGTATTTCCGTGTGTCCTGCCTTAGCATTGTTGATCCAGGTAAATCACTCTCGCTGGTAAATTATTATTCATAGACAAGGTAACTCAAACACTGAATATTGGTAATGCTTACTAGTGGTGTTTATGATGCTACAGGTGATTCAGACATCATCAAGACTCTGCCTGGAGACCAATAAAAGATTTACTTAGTTGTGCTAAAACACCTACTCTCCAGGATTATGTTAAACACCCGTCCTCTTTGTTTTGCGCTTGTTTTCTTTGAGTTTGAGTCTGATACTACTGGATTACATATTAATCGGAGTTATATTTTTCATTCTGTCCTTGACTCCAATTGGTTGATTTATATTTTATTTTCTGGAACTCTGAATGGGTTAGATTAAAATTTTCAGTGAACATGTTACATTGCTAATTTTGTGGTGAACCATCACTTCACAGTTCACATCTTCTATACGAAGTTTGTACTACGTATAATGCAATTTGAGTGATAGACAAGCTTATGAGAACGAATAGTCACTAGTTGAGCTTGGTGCATGGGAAGTTGGGAACATGATAACAAGTACGGAGTAGAATATGGTGAGTAGGGATGGGCTGCCTCAGCTTGGCACTGTTTAAGCCCGGCCTAGCGGCTGGCCTGGGGCCTGGACCGGTAGTTATAAGGAGTGGGCTTTGGGCCTGATTTTTTGGGCCCTGTCAGGCTCAAAATGCACTATTTTGTTTTTTTTTTTAAATTCAATGGTTTGTATGACACAGGCCTGGCCTGGTCCTGCAGCACACCTGGGCTGGTATTGTGCCTGAATTCTTAGTCTCGAAGCCTGCTCTGCCCAGGCTCGGGCTTGACCCTCCCCATCCCTGTCCATCCCTAAAGAATAAAGATGTTAAAAAAGGACATATACATTGATTGGGATGGACTGGGACCACCCAGCCGGTAATCAGTTTTTTGGGATTAAGGCTTGGTACAGGCCTGGCTGGTACTCCGTTTTTGGGACTAAGGGCTGGTACTGGCCTGGAATGCCATCGGGACCGGTCTGGTCTGGTCTACCCGCTCGGGTTGGGCTGGGTTAGGCCTTTTTTTATAAATGTTGTTTAACAATTAATTTAAGAAGTGTTTGATATAAAAAAGTTAAAGTATATTTATTTATTTGAAATATGAACTACACTTGAGAATTGAGAAAAATTTAAAACATCAAATGCATTTCCTAATAATCAGTCGCAATAGTCGGTTGTTGTGTACTCCATAAAGTGGCGGGTGGTGGTGATGCTAAGTTTTTGAGTTCTACGTTCGGCTTTCAACCAATCGTGGAAGCTAATAAGCGTCTTAAGAGATTTCGCTATCAATCTCGTTCTATAATTCGTTAGAACGTTGACCGCATTAAATTAACTGTTGATATTGACATTGCTAGAACTTGTTTAGTCATATTTGATAAGATCGGGAACGTTCTTTTTTTTCTTCCATCACTTCAGAACGTCAAAGTCATCGTCGTCTTCATAGTCAACAAGAAATGTTAGATATAAAGAAAGCTCGTTAACTGAGCTTTGTGCAACATCGGGAGTTGTTTTACTTTTTTTCATAAGATTGTCAAATGTAGATTTGAAAAATGATTTTCCTTTAGATGAAGAAGATGTTCATGTCGGGGCAGGGGACGCGTTACTATATTATGCATGAAACTCATTATATAATTTATGAAATAAATTACTAAACTTATCGTATTCTACTTTAGGATCTATGGACTTGTCTTCATACATCAGAGATGGACCAAAAAGGAAGCATGATAGTAGTCTAAACCATTTCGAAAAGCATTAAGTTTGAAACGAGGATAAAAAATAAATGCAATACCATATATATGCGGAATATGTGAATAATATTTTAAAAACTTTTCTTTCATGTAATCACAAAAATGATGAACGTAAGAGGCATCAGAAAATTCAGCAAAAGCACTGGCGAGATTAATAGCTTCAATTAAAAATTGGTTTACGGTAGATTTATAAACATGACTAAAAGGTAAGGTTGCATTATTAAAATATAATAAGTGTATAACTAATTTAAATAGACATGAATAATATGATGTATATTAATAGGTGAAGAGAGATTGAGAAAATTGAAGAAGATGAAGATGGAGATGGTTAAAGAGTATTAGAGAGTAGGACAAATGGGAGAATATGTGTTGAAAAATGTTTAGAAATTAGGAGTATAAATAACTTTTTCACCCCCACCCCCATCCCCACCCCTAACCCCCTAGACATGCTCCAACGGCTATAGAGTCGTTTGGACACCCCACACATGACTGCAAAGCCATTTAAAGCTTTATTTTTTTTAAAAAAAAATATGGCCGTTAGACCTGGGCCGGTCACCGTTTTCTTCGTCCCGTAGCCCCCCCCCCCCCCCCCCCCTAACCCCAGTTCAGACCCCAAGGCTCGGTCCCGGGCTCGATCAGCCGGTCCGGGCCAGTACCTCACAGTAGCGGTCCGGGTACTGAGCCGATCCGAACTGGCCCAGTCCAACCCTAGGCCCATCTGGCATCTCATACCATACTTATGCTTAGGGATGGGCCCGTCCCGAGCCCGATCCATTCCTAGATGGGCCCCATTATTACAAAAAAACTTTGCTTTTAGGGAGACGTCACTTGAAGTGGTGACTTATGTAGATGTACGCACGATGCAATCCATACCTAAGCGTAAGTATGGTATGAGATGCCAGATGGGCCCCATTTTACTTTTGCTTCAATTTGTATTAAAAATATATCAAAATTCATTCTTTTTTATGGTCTGACACCAATATTGAATATACTATCATATAATTCTTTGAAAAAATCCGATCACCATATGGAGTCTAATTGAAATATAAAATTATATTCTCTTCAAAAGAATTTTCTTTTCTACTAGACCAAGCTTAGGCTAAAAATACATATCAAAATTCATAACTTTTATGATATTTCATATGACACCAATTTTGCATATATAATTTAAAAAAAAATCTAAATATCATATGGTTTCCAATTGAACACGAACTATAAAAATTCAAAATTCTATATCCAATTAAAATTTCTTTCTCACCGGACCCTATGATACATCGGAGTTACAAATTTTGATATATATGTTTAGCCTAAGTTTGGTCAAGTAGAAAAGAAATTTCTTTTGAAGATAAAATATGATTTTATTTTTACATTAGACTCCATGAGATGATCATTTTCTTAAGGAATAATATATTATATATTAGTTTCATATGAAAGATCATAAAAAATTATAAATTGTGATATATTTTTTATACAAATTGAAGCACCAAAAAAGTTATAGCCCTTACAAAAAAGAGAGATTTTCTTTTTAAATTATGGGGCTCATTTCATACCACACTTACGCATTGGCTTTTTCTAATCAGGGTTTTAACCGACAGTATTTTGAAAATTATTATTAATTCAACCTTGATTTCGTATTTATTTATTTATTTAGCATTAATTCCGGAAAAGGCTCTCTATTTATGAGTAGGATGCTAATGTGGCTTCCCACTGTAATGTGATTGGCCAAAATGTTAATCCACCGATACATCCTTTATTTTTGAATGCACCGTAGAAGAACCCTTAAATTTAAAATACGCAAAAATAGCCATAATAAACTTCTAAAGCTCTGACACCTCTTCTACATCTTGATAGCCATGTGGCGACATCAATCTTATATTAGACGAGCCACCCTTGTGTTGCCCGCTTCTCTCCCGTTTTTATATATATGTGACTCCACCTCCATAGCTACCCTATAGCAATGGTTTAAGAAGAAATCTAGAATGCAACATATGTTAAATACCTTTTGCATTTCTACCACCACAGCTGCAATCAGATAGCAATCCATCCAACCACGAAGCACCACCGTCGTAAGCATGGAAGTGGTATATGTGTCCCACAAATGACTATCACACCTAATCATTGACGAGAAGAAGAAAAATAAACACAACCGTCAATACCGGTAAGAAATTTTTGATGATTGGTCAGCACATTCCTAACCCTAACGTCAGGGTATGAGTTCGCTTTTCTAAATATATGAAGCCACTTAATTTAACCTTTTTTAAAAAGCAAAACTTTAATATGTTAATTATTTTAAAGAAAACCACCAAACTATATTAAGTAAAACAATCATTTACAGTTACATTCAACCAACAACTTAAAACTCCACCATCTATCTCCTAAAAACTCCATCTAACTCGCTAAAAGACTTAGATCACACACTGAGATGGCTACTTCTAAAGAAGCCACGCAAATCGCTTACCACCAAACATGCGATATGGAGTCCTTAGAGACCCTTAAAATCACATCACTCTTACCCACTTCACTAGACCCAAATATGTATGAAATTTTCGTTGAAAATATGGAAGCTTCAAGGTAAATAACGGTCTTATACATCCCAAGACTACCACTAACACAAATAATCCAATAACAAGGTAAAATGTCTAACAAAAGAAAAATAAAGATTAAACTGAAATAAAAATAGAACAAGAAATAACAACTATCCAAACCCTAGCCGCTCGTTCATTCCATGGTGGGGGTTCCGGAGGTGGGCGGACCATCAACACCCCTTTTCCTCCAAGACAAGACGATTGTAAGCCTGTTGAAAATCGTCAAGCTCAGCCAATTTCTTGTTCATCTCGGTCTCAAATCGAACCCTATTGATGATTGCGGACTTCTCCATAGTTTGTCCGATGGACGTTGTTGCCCAAAATTATTAAAGAAATATGTCCTGCAACAAAAAAACTGCTCATAAAATGCCGATGAACGGTCACATAAAACCCTATGCGAAGTAGTACCTTACTTCCACTTTTTTAGTCGCTAGCTTTAATATGTTATTAAAAATGTAGTTAAAATAGAATATATATATATATATTATAAATTCAATTAAAATAGTGAGAATCAACGCAACAAAAAAGCGGACTCTCCCTCTTCGTAGGGTTTGAGGGTTCTTCCGCCGAAGGAGTGCGGCAAAGGCTTCGTAAGGATGGCAACTCACGTGGCACCAGAGCAGGCATCTGCGCAGACGAGGGCACAAGGGGGCGGCAGAGCAATCTCTCAGGCAACAAAGGGGATTCAGGACGAGATAGGGGAATTCTCGGCGGCGTTCGGTGAGAAGAGCGTGGAGAGATTGACCGATCAATACGACGGGATGGGGTTGGGAAGCACAGAGGACGAGTTACTGCTGGACGACGAGGAAATCGAGGAGCTCGACCCCGAGGCAGCGAGCAAGAGGGCGGAGTCCTTTCCCGTAGTCGGTACGATTCTCACCGACAAAGTGGTGAAATTTCAAAATTTTCATGATCTGATGGCATCTCTTTGGCATCCGGGAAAAGGTGTTCTGATTCAGGAGATTGGGGAGAAGAGGTATCTATTTACCTTTTATCACAAAATTGATATGAATAGAGTGTTGGATAATGGACCTTGGTTATTTGACCAGAATATGCTAGTGTTAAAAGCTATTAAGCAGGGTGATTTGCTTCAGAAGATACCTCTGGATATGGCTGATTTTTGGGTTCAGATTTATA